GGTCAGCATCTTGAGCCCTCACGGCCCAAACCCGTGCGTGGATACCATTGATCCCGATTCAAGCGGTCAGGAGGACCCTATTTGCCCCACGCCATATGGCAAGGGCCTGGTCGATGTGTGCATTGGGCGAGAGACGCTGCTGAACTACGATGTCAACGAAAAGTACTCGCCCTCTTTGCACAGCCAGCTGAGTCATGAGAACCTTGTGCTCAACTGGATTTTATTATTGGAACATGGATGATTTATGAAAATGGAATCCAGGAATCAATGGAAAACATGATGTTTTTCCATGTTTTTCCTATAACTATGGGGTTTCTTGTAAAATTTCCCTTCAACCAATCCAATGCGAAAAACCTGGTTGTGGACAGTGCAATAGAGTACATGATGCGCATGATGGGCCCATATCAACTTCGTGAGGGATTGCTTCGCAATGCTTCGTACATCTTGGGCCAGCGCTGCCAACTCTGGTGCACCATTCTACAGCTCAGAGGAAAATGTCAGCCTTGCAGATGTCCCATAGCATGCTCTGTTTTGCTAGCCCGCCTGACATCTGTAGCACATATACAATCATATACATCGATTCCGATTTTGGCAAGTGGGTTGTTCAGTTTCTGGCACTGTGCATCACCTTTGTCACTAGACCCGCAAGACTCTGAGGAACGACGAAAACACCATTGACGATGCAACCTGGACTCAGAGTTTTTCTTTTTACGATAGTTTCAATGCGTTAAAGCTAAGCCAGGCACAGGAAAACGTTTAGGCCGCTTAGTGCTGTTCACTGCCGCTGGAACTGCTCAAAGGCCTTGATCCAAGTGGTGGTGGTGACCATCAGATCCATCTCTCAGATTGCTCTGCAGCAACTGGTCGCTGTTTCAGCCATTCAGAAAACAGGATGAAAGACTACGGCGGTGTGGGAGGACCTGTCTAGACCGCACTGGTTCATGTTTTCCACTGAAGGTTTTAGCACCGACAGGCTGAGCGATATCTCATCCAGCCGGCATTGCTGAATGCGCAGTCTCATTCTGACCGTATAGAGTAGTTTTTGGGGCACCCCCCAAGAAAATATCGAAAAGTGGAATCCGTTTAAAACATTTTAAAACCGTTGATAAATGATGATCAATGACATTTCCATATTTTTTACCCCCAAAAAAAGTTTACTTGTAGCATCTTGTAGCCATTGCATGAAAATTCCGAGGCTTAGAGGCTTAGATTTCACCATCCTTTTTTGGCCATCCCAGGCAGGCCATCACCATTTGGCTCATTCGAACGCTCTCGGCCAGTGACTTTGAGGGCATGATCGAGGCCGGTGGTGAAGAATGGTGCGGTGAAAAACCATTAGGGTGGGGTATGAGTAAAAAAAAGCCAAGCATAATGGGAGATGAACGGGATACAAATGGGATAAAACAGGATGCATCACCCACATTTAGATTGAGAAGACATGGAGCAAAATGATCATGACACATTTTGAGACGGACCCAGGTGTCTCTCACAATGTGTCTATGTTTTCACCTGTCAAGATGTTCCAAGTCTGATGACTGTCTCGGAAGGTGGCCTGCTGAGATTCAATGGATTGGTAGGGCAGCAAACAGCAAACAGAAAACCATTTGGAAGTGCGCACTTCCCGGGTTTTCTGGGACAACTCCACCGAAAAACTCAGTCAGGCAATGCGGCAGACGGTGTCCGAGAGGAGGAGACTTGATGAAAAGCCATGGGGTTGATACAAAAACTGCAGCTTTTGGACTACATGTTGTTGAAATTCTTTTTTTTCACCGTGGATTTGGCCTTTTTTCCATCGCAGCAAAGCAACGCCAGGGTCCAATTTCAATAGAAATCAGCAATGGTCCAATGGTCCAAAAATGCTGACAGGTTCGATAGCTACACCAGATACCTGGCCACGCTGGGAGAGCAGAAGCTTCAGCAAGCGATGAACACGGTGCGAACCGGAAAACTGGAGAGGATTGAAACACAAAACAGATTGAAACTCGGAGAATTTCGATGTGGTGTGATGCCAATGCTCAAATCTCTGGTCGCAGGTTTGGGGTCTTTGAGACCGGCCGACGACGGGACAACCTGCCACGATGTGCCTTGGTTTGTTTTTGACCCGGCATGGCGAGCTGCTCCCTTTGATGCAAATGGCCGGCCATTTGCGAACCAAGGTTTCACGGAAGGTGGGAATCTGACGATATCTGCACAAAGAGAAGCATCGAGATGCTGAAAGGAACTGAATTACCCGAGACTTCTCGTTCTCACGTGAAACGTGAGATTGGATGAAGGGATTCGGAAGTATTTGAGCTTTGGTGATCCCAATTCAGCGGTCGCAATGCACCAGTGATTGATTTGCAAAAAAAGAGGCCGCATTTGGACGATGTGAGCCCATGGAGGAAAAAAATGTGGGGCTCACATTGGCCCACCTTTAAACTCTGGACTGTGATCGGCAGACCAGGCACACCTGCTAGCGACATATCAGGCTTTTCATGGCAGTTTGGACACAACATTCATATACCCACATACTCGCAACTTTTTCCCGTACAGATGCAGATCTTGGTCTTGCAGCAATGCTGTCTTGGAATTGAACAGATTTTGTCTGCATGAATAGATTTTCATCCGACAGTGACTAGGAAACAAATGACATAAAATTACCATCAGCATTACAACTTGTGCCAGGAGGAGCTTGAAGGTAAGGCCCTCAAAGTTTCGCTTGAGTCTCTAACTAACGAGTTGAAAGGGTCATTCTCCGAGTGTTTTGGCAAAGGTAGCAGATACAGATATCCTTGATAAATTCAACGTCAGGGGAAGCAAACTTGTTCACTGGTGACAGGTCTTTAATTGTTGGATATTGTTGGTTTGAGTTTTTGACACTTGATATCCAACAATATCCAACAATCAAACCAACAATCAAACCAACAATATCCAGTTGAGGCTGACCAGTTGTTTGGATTTAGCAGCAGTTCCACGTGTTTTCAGGATCTGCACTTCCTGGTAGTTCGCACAGGCCGAGCGTTTCTTTTGCCGTGTTCCATTCTCCGCTATCTGACCCCCAAAGTGGGCATTTAAAGGAGACTTAATGATTAACCAGGGGATGTGTTTTTTCGGACAAAGCCATACGTGTAACAAGAAACGTTGGAGATTGTGGTTCCCTGATTTCTGGAGTCTGCATCACTGCTTCGTGCACATCCTTCTGCGCACACTGGTTCGGGCAGGCATGCAAGGAGGAGGCGGTACAGGGGTAGCCACCATCCCAGAGTCACAAAGTCGTCATCGACTTCTGGAGATGAGGAAATCCTCACTGAGGCTTGGAACTGGCAGACAATTGTTGGAGACTCAGCCGGACTCAGCCCATGCCTGGTGTACCTGGAATGTCTGATTTAATGCTTCTGCGGTCATGCGTAGTGGCAATCTCGTTGTGCCGAGATTGAGCTTCAATTGTGAATCCTTTGGCCCTTTCTGAGTCTGTCAGGCAACGTTTTCTTCTGGGAGAACGGTCGAGTAGTGCAAGTAGTTCGGGCCTGCGACGGAAAGGTCAGGCTCTCAGATGCAGGAGGTGTTTTTGGGTTTTGTCTCTTTCTCGGTCCAAATGGCCATGAATCAAAACTCCTATATAGGCCCTATAATACATTATAATACCATACTTGGGTGGGATGAACATCCATAACTACCAGACTATTTTGGTGTGATTTCCAGGGTACTGATCAGATTTGGATTCAAGTCTTGCAGGGTACGTTCCAACATGTCTGGATCGTTTGATTCGATGGATCTCTGCACCTACCATGGGGCAGAAAGGGGGCTATGGGGGCTATGGCACTTGCTGACGCAAAGCTGTAGGTCTTGCGGGAGATTGACACGGGGCAAAACTTTCGCCGCAGCTTGAGCAGCACCTTGATGCCTCTGGCGGTAACCTCGTCATGCTGACAGCACACAGGGTCGTGATACGCGTGATACCTGTTCACAGCACATCTCAGCATGTTGTCGTGCTATGTTTTCTCTGAAGAGTTCGAAGACCTTTGGAACAGCATCCATACATATCCATAGCATCGACAAGCTGTCAGGATGTTTCCATCGCCTGGCCAATGTGAAAAAGAAACTCTTTGTTTGCTTGAATGATTGCATCAAGGCGGGAGGAATGTGCCTAATTGGCTGTTGAAAGTGTACACAGACTTGATTGAGTTCGACATCTTTTTCTCGGTCATATTTTCTAAAACATTACTTTCAACTGCCGGCTATGACAAGATTTTCAAGCTCCATTTGGGGCGACACTTTCTTGAGCAGTTCAGGTCTGGGACTACGACAGTTACAAGAAGCCCATTGAGCTTCCCCCTGCGAGGCCGGGTGGTTCGAATGGTCTCTGGCCTCTGGAGTTGTGAAATTTCAACTGGTGGAGTGGCAGGACCCCGCATTCCTTGGTGAGGGCGCTGGGCCTAGAGTGTTGTGTGTCCATTGTGTCCATGCCTTTGACAGCTGAGACAGCCGCGATGGACACGTTTTGAAAAATTGCAGTGAGCACTGAACACATCTAGAAGGTGTGGTGAGGGTGTGATGATACTGCTCCCACCGTAGTTTGCTATTCCCAACGCAGCAAACCTGAGGTTGGACGGCCTTTGGAGCTATTGGTTCATAGGTGGGGGAATCCTTGTGCTTTTAATTTTCCGAAGATCCGAGGTTGAATACTCTACTTAAGACCTCTGTTAGTTTTATCCCTCCTAGAGACTTTTTCCCAGCTGGAAGCTGACTGGATGGTCGCAGGCAAAGGCTGATCCTGGTCGAGAGCAACTGCTGCTTGCTGTGGCACACGGAGACCCTGGAGTTCATTTGCTGCATCCAGGCCTTTGGTTTAGGGGGGTTGAGTCTTAGTGTGAATAGATTTTTTAAGCATTTTTAATCTTCCGAAATCCACACATGTTGAAGGTGGTGACTTTCCCAGTCTGTTGTGGGGGGGAAGAACCAGTCTCTTGGAGTGTTGCACCTTCCCTTGATCTCCGCCCAGCATGATGACACTGGGGCTGCCTTTGGAAGTCCTGTGGAGCGTCCTAGTCCCTTGGCTGCAACATGACCTAACGCCGATGTCTGATTTATTGCACTAGCTCAATGTTGCTGGTAGCAAGGTATTCGATGTTTGCTGCCACCAAACCTAGGTCCTCATGCTGATGATGTCACCGGATCACAATCACATCGTCAGGGATCTCAGAGTACCCTTGTGTCTTGTGCAAATTGCACATTCATTTCTGTATGAGAGTCCTCTTTGTTTTACAACTTGTCTTCTAAAAGACAAAGCCATTGAGAGTTGTGCAGCATCTGTAAGGTCTTCGAGAAACCTTGGAGGCTCGGAACTCAGACTACAGGTCTTCATGAAACCCAGGGTAGACATTGGTGCATGTAACACCACTGAAAATACTGTAGGCTGCATCAGTTCCTATGAATCCAGGACCACATTCCATCTCTCAGGTCCAATGGATGGGTGACCTGCTGATGACCTGGGTACCCTGGTTGCATATCCTTTCTAGAGATGTTTCAGCTTCAAGCCACGCATCATCGGACCATGCTCTTGGTTTACCCTGACATGTTTGACTCTCACAGTCTTTTCCTAGAGGGAGAAACGGACGACATATAGTATCTTATCGTTCCATCTTTTTGATTGTTTCTACTAGTTTCATCTAGTTTCTACAATATCAAGATGAGAAAAGGTTCCGATGAAAAGTTGTTGGACCAAAACCAGTTGAAGTCGTTGCCAGGGCCGTGGGAGCTTGAAGTCTTTGAATGCCAACTGCTCATGCCGTTGGGGAGTGTTGGATCAGCCACAAGTAACATGTGCATCTTGGGTTGCGGACTACAAAGTGCGATGTGTGAACACATGAACCCAGATCTATGACTTTCCATTATGCTTGAATTGCAATACTGTTGCAAGGCGACCAGTAGAAGTTTGCTCTATTTTTCGGTCACCAAAATCATGGAACCATGGGACTTTGGATCAGCACATCAATTCCCAGGTCTGGACCTTGGACGGCGAAGCCAAAGCCTTTCTGAAAACTGACAGTGCCTTGGTGCAGGTGCCGCCGGATTCAGGGCGGGGAGAAGTGCGGCGGATCTGGTTGATCTGCAGCAGACGGATTGGAAGGTAGTGATGAGATGTGATGAGCTGTGATGAGCTGTGATGAGTAGGACTGGAAACTTTGAGGCCAGAGGTTAAAGGTCCAGGTCCAAGGAACAAGCGTCAACATTCCAGGGCCTGGTGGTGGGTTGACATTTGTTCTGTCTTGAAAGTAGCCAGGCGTAGCCGGTCTAGCCGAGCCATTGATGTTCTGCTTGGCAGGTGGATGTTGCCCGGGTCACGTGGCAGTCCGTGGAAACCTCTGTAGCACTGTAGATGGCTTCAGCGTGACATCAAAAGACTCCAAATCCTTGAAAAACAGATGCACTGTAGATGCATCTCCATGTGATTCCAATGGCTTCATATCACTCTCATGTTGACATGGTGCAGCCCGAGATAGCCCGAGGTATATACCTTGGACCATTTCATTCTTTGTGCTTTGGATTCGAGGTGCCAATGATACAGCCCCTGCATCCACCGAAATCATGGGTATCGATGGATTTTTCCCAGGTCGGTGGTCACATTCTGGGACTCCAAAGAGAACTTCGCGGCGATCTTTCGCTTCTATTGTGGCTGCGAGGCTTGAAGTACAGCGCAGCCACGACAGTTGATTATGATTAAAACAGGTGAAGATATATAGCGCTATATTATATATAAGTATATTGTAATATAATATAATATAATAGAATATGATATAATATGATATAATATAATAGAATATTATATCATATCATATCATATCATATCATATTATGTTATATTATATTATATAATATTTATATTAATATTAATATGATATGATATGATATTATATTATATTTATATTATATTATATTAAATCATATTATATTTATTTTATATTATATTATATTATATTATATTTATATTTATATTATATTATATTTATATATATATATATTTATATATTATATTATATTATATCATATTATATTATATTATATATTATTATTATTAATCATTATTGTTATCATTGTTATTATTAGTATAATTATATATGTTATATATATACATTACATGTATAAAAAATAATAACAATAATAATAACAATAATAATAACAATAATAATAATACCAATAATAGTAAAAACAATAATAATAACAGTAATAATCATACTACTACTACTACTAATAATAATAATAATAAATATTACAGTTTAATAATAATACTACTACTACTAATAATAATAATCAGCTTCGCTGTGAGCAATTGCACAGAACTAGAGGAATTGATGATCTGACAGATTTCTGGTGCAGGAACCCTTTGATCTGGTTTTGACTCAGGTGGGGGCTGCGATTGAACATGTTGTGCGACTGGGGAAAGCTGGACCCGATTGGTGCAGGACTTCATGGTAGTCATCAATGACAACGTCTCAGCCAACCGCTTGGGCCCTGGAGATGATAGCTGAGAGATTGAGAACTGCCAAGTTCATCCCAGTTCCAGGTTTGGATCTCTGCTTCTGGAAACTATGGCTCCATCCAGACTTCGAGGTGCAACAATCAACTTGTGGCTGCTCTCGGATGAATTTGGGGTACCAGTCTCCAACTCCCCAACTCCCCCCCAGCTAGGCTCCAAATCAATCTGCTGAGAGATGGAGTCTCAGTCTGTGCAGCCTCCAGGGCCTGGTGCCAACTTGGGGAGAATAGAAATATCAAAGGATAAATATCAAAGGATGCCTGTGTAACACTGCGCCTTCACAGTGAGGTCTGGACATGACGAGGTCAGAAGCTCGACACCAACGTGAGGCGCGGCAAGGGTTCAAAGTCGGCCACAGGTGCGGGAAGTAAAAGGACATGTTGCCAGCATCCCAGAAATGGACGAAGAGAGAAATTCGCAGGACACCCTATATTAGGGTAAAAAACATGGTTTTCCTACAGAGTTTCCCTCAAAATCAATCCATTGAAAACAGTTTCTGCATGATGTGTGGCTTCGTTGGAGGCTTCTGTGCGTCTCCGGCAACGGCCCGCGGGCGCTCACTTTTCTCCACAAGGCCAATTTGATCCACTGTGGATTCTGAATTTCATCCGTCATCAACATCATCATCCGTCAATGATATCAAAATTCACAATAGATCTGCAGTCACATGTACCCTCTGGTAATTTAACATAGCTATTGAAAATCACCATTTTCATGGGAAAATCCACTATAAATGGTCATTTTCAATAGCTACGTTAGATTACCAGAGGGTATAAACTACATAAACCATCATTAACCTATTTCTCCAAGACACGTCTGGGCTGCAGGTGGCCTCCCCTTTCCAGCAGCGACGGGACTAATGGCTGGCTTGGACTTGGCATCAGCAGCTGCGGCGCAGCTGAGTGGCGACACGCTGCAGTGTCTTGGCCGCATTGAAGCACCGGCTGTTGGTATCTCAACGCGAGGCACAATACCAAGTCCTGAAACAGTTTTTTTTATTTGAGGAATCCATAGAAATCCCAAACCAGTTAAACCATGACCGTCTTGATGTGAAACGATGGGCCTCATTGGATAGAATTGAACCTGTCTGAGAGCGACCTGGTAAGGCGCTTTCTTCACAAGGAGCTACGACCCAATTGTCGTCCCATCAAAACGTTCGGACGCCCAGTAAGATCCCTTTCTTTTGTGTTCATTGACAACTGGTGCTTTTTGCATTTTCTGTCAAGAAACTGGGCTATTTGGGCCAGGCTGAGCATTCCAGACATCGACACCTACTTCGCATCTTACAGGTGACGTGCACTGAACCTGAACTGAGTGACGAATAGCTTTCCAATGCTTTCCATCTGGATCCCCAGTTGTTTCCGACTTTCCAGGAATTTCCTGAACATGTGCTCCTTCCACAAGTCGGGTCAGGTCTGACCCTCAGAATCTCCTGCTGCATCAGGATCTCAAGCCATCTCCATGTCACCAGGAATCCCTCAGCGTTTATCGTTCCAGCTCCCTTCAGACGCGGCCTTAACGCAGCCGAACTTTGAGTGTGAGAATGATCATGGAATGTCACAGGGTGTTGCATGACAACCACGAACTTTGGTGTTTCAGACTTGATCTGTCTTTTTGGCCAACAAAGGAATTCAAGCGCGATATGGATGTGGAAGAATTACATGGATATGCATATGTAGATGTGCATCTATCTATATGTGTATATACATAATATGTATTAATATGTATTATATAAAACTATACAAATTGATATACTTGGGTACCCTACAAGCTTATATACTCATAATATCACCTATCCATGTCAGCGCGACGAGCCATGTAGCAAGGAAGAAGGCCTTTTTCCCACCCGCGAAGCACACGAAGTTTGAAGAGTGGCAGCTCGGCCTGGACGAGTTGGAATGGAGGGTTAGCCCCTGTTACTCGGGCTATACAACCAACCTTACTGGGATACAAATGGGATAACATGATATATTAAACATATGTATACATAAGTTGATTAAGTATCCATATTATATATATATGGTTCGCCTGAACAAGAACAAGAGTTGGGTATGGTCATCCCCCATTTTCATAGGGATCCATATGCCCAGTTGTTTTGGACTCCTTTTTTTGATGGTGACATGACTGTACCCCATTCATCATATTCATCCCATTTTTTGACCGTGGCACACAGGTTACACCTGGGGATGGGTCACACCGGACCAGGTGGTGAGATCAGATGGTACACAGCATCCAAGGTTGGCATTGCAGGTCCACAATGATGGCACAGTGGTTGTACATGATTTTCGACCCCAGCAGGCCAACCTGGGAAGGATCTGGTGAGTTATTCGCTGAAAATTCACCAGTTGTTCCATGTGGCTTTGGAGTAGATTTTGATGTTCTCCGCTTCGGGAAAAAACGCCGCTTCTCTGTCCGCAGATGGCATTTGATGAGTTGCTGGGATCCCGCTGCGAAAAAGGCTGGCGGGTCATTGATGGTGAGATAAGAAGTAGGTCCTTGAGGGGTCATTACACAATATTACATATATGGCAGTGTGTCAAAACCTTGTACCCCTGGTGAACATCAAAATAGCTGGTAAATGGATGTTCATCCCACTAAAAATGGTATCTATAGGTATTGACCCATACCCATATTACACACTACTTACAACATCACCAGCAGCATTTTCACCTGAGCTGTAGATGTAGATTATATCAGGCACTTGTTCAATGCGACAACTTCGGCCCAGGATCTCAGGCCGAAACTGGGACACCGAAACAGCCAGCTGCCGAGGGGCTACAGAATCGGGTCCGATGTTTCCAGTTTGAAAAGCCTTGGAATTTTCATGAATCCATAGGCTCTTTCCACAAAGTGGACATGGAAATTATGAATTTCCAGTTTTTCCATGGAATCTTTCACTTGAGGTGTTTTGTCCAAGTTCCTGACATTTGCCAAGGACTGAGCAAATGCCACAGCCTCGACAGCGGAGCTTTCCTGTCCGCAGCCAAGCATCGGTTTTGACGGTGGTTGTTCGAGGTTCCCATATGCCTCAGTGTGATGGTGACTGCGAATGCAGATTCAGCACAATACTAAGATGATTTTGCTGGAAGTTCTTTGCCAGTGAGACAAGATCATATGAATCATATCCTTTGATGTTGAGTAGGACGCCATCGACATCATTTTCACAAATCGGCCATTTTTCACATGATTTCTGCATCAGTGGTTTTTGTTGCCTTTGGGGTTAACCTGGGTGCAGAAATGGTTAGGATTTCAGCAGGTGGATTTGTCCAAAAATTGCCATGAAACACTGGTGATTTCACCACGGGTGCCACGGATGGGCTTACCATTTCGGTTGCCCCAACTAAACTTCAGACAAACCTTGGGAGGTTTTTGGACGATGTTTTCTCTATATTTGCACCGGCCAGGGATGTGGACTGCGCCGGGCTCGACGTGCCTAGCTGTCTGATTCCCGGGATGGAATGGCCGAGAGATTGTCACTTGCAGTATGGCTATGAAGAAAAAGAAAACCAAGAGATGGACAAAACCTTTCATTCTGGTGTATCAGCTAAGGTCGTCAACGTGTTACTGGAAGTATCAGTGATGACCATTTTTCCATACTTTTCCCGTCTGCATTTCTTTGGCCTGGCTGTGTTTGAGCCTGAAAGGTTGCCCAGATTCTGATAGCTTCACTGGTGAGATGAGTGGCTGCCAGTTTCTCGATGTGCAACGGAGCAAACAGGTAAGTAACATTGCACAGCAGGGAATAGCAATCCAATATGGGTATGGATCAATGCCCATAGATACCATTTTTAGGGGGATGAACATCCATTTACCAGCTATTTTGATGTTCACCAGGGGGATAGGGTTTTGACACACTGCCATATGAAATCAAACGACACTCTTCTTTGCCGCTAAGCTTTCTTTGCTGTTTCTTTATTGTTCTTTTTCTTTACTGCCACGGAATTTACGTGGGTGTCTTCTCCCATTTGGGGCAGGCTTCGACATGATTCCCTGATACGTTCCGTGTTCCATCCACGACTGGCTTTCGGGTGGATGCTGTGTGAGTCCATCGTCCATAGGAGGAGATATTCCATGCTATTCCTCAATTTTTAGCCACACCCATATGACATGCGTCACCTCCGGGCATGAACTTCAAGCAAGTTGATATAAGTTGATCCTTCCTTAGCCAGTCTGAGCACGAGAGCAGCGCGGCTAAGTCGTCCTTGTGCACTCGTCTGTGGAAGCAAAGATCCAGGAGTTCTGGTGTACATTGTCATTAAAAATCGTAGGGGAAATCCCTCAAAACAGACTGTAGTACGGCGAGGCCACGGTTGGGGCATTGGACATTTGCATGGTTTTCGAGTATACTTAGCTCCAATGTTGTGCCAATGTCGAGTGTGGGATCCAAGTGTTTCATGCATAATTTTCAATAATGTTTTGACAAGACAGCCAGACTTTGATGTCTATTTGATTTATAAATTTATTGCTGCTTCACCCTTTTATTGCTTTGAACTTTAAGCAATTCGATGGAAGCATTGTAGAGACCCATTCCTCAGAGGTGAGTTTGATAGGCACAATAATGGCAAACATTGAACAAGCAGAGCTGACCAAACATTCTGTCCGTGCTCTTTCCCTGAGTGAAACTGCGGACCAACAAAGCTTGCAATAGCAGTTTGGAGCAAGTACATAATCTCTTGGGGACATGTACACAATAATCCCGGAGGGTTGAAGATGGGATTCCTGAAAGACTTAAATCTTCTGTAATGCAACAGTGGACCACTTTCGTGACGCTAGTCTTGCTGGCTCATAGAACACTTCAAGCATCAATGGCATCTCTCGGCAAAAGTTAGGATAGGACATTGACGCAATTTCTACCAAACCGATTGCTTCAAAGTGGCGACATAGTGCATGATAAGACCAAAACTATCACATTGTCGCTAGGTAAATCCTTGTTGTGAAAGAGAAAAATGAGCCAAGGCAGTTGTGTTGCGGCGTTAGGTAAATAGTGACTATGTTGTTGGAGAACAGGCAGCACCATTTTTCCAAACAGAGAGCTGTACAACACCACAAGTTTCCTTTGTCGACACCCGCTTGTCACCCGCTTGGCATGCTGCACCCTGAGACTGCGATGACATCGACATGATGCTTTTCCTGCAACACCTTGAAACTGAGGTGTGAAGTCAAGGTGCATCCTGTGACCAGGCACAGAGATGACTAAGGTTTGAGGCAGCACATGTCGCATGTGTACAGGGTTCGTCATAGATTTGGCCTTCCTTTCTGTATCTTTCTGTGATATCCCAATATATCCCGTGCGCCATTGTTGTCTCAAAGCCAGTGTCATGAAAAGCAACAGCCTCCCGAGCTTCTGGGCCCATCCTGCCATACCCTGCCATACCCTGCCATACCCTGCCATAGCCTAGCAACAAACGAAGTCACCCATATCTTCACAGAATTGGTCCAATGATGCGCCTGCCGGTGCCTGGGGCGCGGTCACTTCGGATCTGGCAGCGTTCTTGCAAGGCGAGGGCACATAGCGTTTGCCTAAGAGACTCATTGCAGGGTACAATGCTTTAGGATGCTCTTGAAATGACTGGAAGCAGTCCCTGTCCATATTGTCCATCTCAAACCCAGTTCCTTTGGCTAGTGTGTTTGAGTTGGTCTGGGTGATGTGACGTGTTCTCTTGGGGCAGTCTGTCAGCCTTTGGACAGCTGGAAGGCCTGGACGCCATATGTTTGCGTCCAGTTGCAACGGCACTGCTTTGCTACAGTAGCGACCGAGCAGACAGGTGCGAATGAATCTGTTTGCTCTAAAAGTTGCCTTGAAGAAAGTGCGTACACGGCTTTCATCTTCATTTCCTTTCCATTTCACGTGATTTTTTGGTTGAGATCGCATTCCGGGTTGCACCGACTCTGCAAGTACCGTGGTGCACCTTTTTCGCAAAGGTACTGGAGAAGCGCCGAGCAAAAAGCCAGTTGTAAAGCCAGTTGTAAAGCCAGTTGTAAAGCCAGTTGTATCAGCGGAGAAGGACTTCACTGATGGCACTGTGGCTTTCCAATCGAAAAGCACCTGTATCCTGGTGGCAGTGGCGGAGTTGCAATGAGGCTTGACTTGGCTTGACTTGGCTTGACTGTATGGAAATGTATTGAATCTGATTCTGTGGAGTGCTATTGCACAGTGCTATTGATGAACTGGTCCAGTTGGGCCAGTTGTAGAATTTGACATGATTGGAAGCTCAGGGGAGCTCTTCCGCGCTTGGTGTGTCTTTCAGATTTGTGCTATTGGACCAATCGTACGACACTGCGACACCCTCTACATGTACTCCGTCAAGGTGCTTGGTGCAAGGCGTGGAGCAGTGGGCTGCCTTTTTGACGATGTGTTTCTGGGGTTCAGCCGGGGACATAGTGGGACCGTTTCGCGAGGTTGAGCGTAAAGCCATTAAGCCCTTCAACCCGTTTTTGTGTCTTGCGTTTTTGTGCGCACAGATTTCTAGCAAAAAAGACAGATAGACCAGAAATACCCAAGTTTTCTGTCTCACACAGGCTTACTCATCTCCTATTGAGAAAGACTTTCTTCGAGCACTTTTGTGCTGGCGAAAGCAGCCAGGACTGCGACGGCCGATTTTTTCTCAAAAATGCAGTACTGATTGAGCTGGAATCAGACTTATTGTCTGGGCTTTTCTACATGTATCATGTGTCAATATCTTGCAAATGCCTTGACCACACTTTGACAATGGGAAAGCATGGCTGGAGTGAGCATGCGATTACACAGCTGCAAAGGACATTGTGCCACGGATGAGAGAGCTGCAGAAATACAATGTCCTGAGCTGAGTTGTGAGAATGAATAAGTGATAATTAATCTGGTTGGTGGTTTGGAACATTTTTTATTTTTCCATCTATTGGGAAGAATCATCCCAACTGACTGACTAATATTTTTCAGATGTGTTGAAACCACCAACCAGTAATTACATGTTGCTCTCATCCGCTGTTTGACGTTTGGGTAGAATCAGCAGTTTCGGGCAGTGTCTGGTGAGAGCCCGAGGTTGGAGGAATTCTGGACTATGCTGCGGAAGCAAAGGACGGCGAGCTCCCAGAAACCGTGAAGCCCATAGATGAAGAGGAGCCCCGTGGCTTTCCCCAAAATGGGGACCTGGATCAAAAGCCATGGGACCGCCGGGGCGAATGAACATGCATCACTATGAACTGCCTGCTATTTGCTGTGAAAATCAAAGTACACTTCTGAAGCCAACTTTGAAACAAAAAGCGCGACAACTCAAAGCTCTGTCATGCTCTGTCTTTTTGGCAGGAAACTGTTGGGGCCCCGCTGAGCAGTCGAAGCTACGACTATGAGAGTGAGGCTGACAGCAGAGTTCTGAAATGGTCCCGGTTTTGGGGGCTGTGGAATGGGAGGAAAGTAGATGCAGTCGGACGCAGCTAAATGATTGAGCGTTGACGAAATGGACTCCATCCTCTTGAGACTCACAATTGCAATTGCTAGTGAAAGTAAGAATCCTTTGATGTCAACTGGTGGAAGCGCCTGATGATGAGAAAGCAGGGACTTGCGCTAGACCAAAGTCTTTCCAGATCATCAGAGCATCGGTTTGGTCGTTTGGGAGCAGCGTTTGGGAAGATCTGCAGCAATTCTTCGCCTTTGCGCGAGCAGGCGCTGTGTGACGCAAGAGCTCAGATCTTTCGTGTCGCCGTGCGGGGTGTCAAGGACACCATTCCGGATGGCTTCGCGGCCATCAAGCTCTCTGGTCTTGGGAGACTTGGCGGAATGGATCATGGATAAGTGGAGGGAGGGACAGTGGCAGTGTCATGGCAACTGTTGCAGCATTGCATGAACTCTTCTGAGTGCTACTCGCTTAGATTCGCTTAGTAGCTGTTGGCTTCTTGGATGCTGGACTAGTGGAGTAGCCCCACAGTGAGACCTGTTGGCTTTTTGATGTTTTTTGCATGAGAAGCTTTTTGCTGTGAGATCAGGAATCCCGTGTTGCTGGAGAGGATGTCCACTTGCTTGGCAGAAGTCTGCCGATTGTCCCTCAGATCCAGAGAAGACAAGCCTTAGCATATATATATATATTATATACAATACAGCAATAGAAGTATCTAGATTTGGAGAGAGGATTGTAGGACACAGTCACTGAGTGTAGTTGCTCACAGTGCAGCTAAGTATCAGCCGATTTGCCGGCCAGCTTTTGGCCAGTCTGCCGATTGTCAAACTTTAGAGGATTGAGAGGATGTCAGAGTCACCGTCGCCCAATGGATGAACCACGATGAACAAACGACCAAGGTACAAAAGACTTGCTGATGATGATGTCAACCCCAAGGAAAATTACTACGTGTCTTTGGCTGCAACCATGTTGCTGTTGCTAATTGCTGTCCCAGCATTGGGACCCTACGCTTTCAGCCAGATTTGAAGGTGCAGAAAAGCCCTCAAAATGATCAGATTTTTTGCACTGTGCCACCCTTTGCTCTGACCAAGATGATTGACCGATCTTTCAAGATCGACTTCGAGACTTTCAAAAAAGGCTGGTTGAAGATGTTTGAAGGCAAAAGTGAGGACAGCTGGCGGTGGCGCGGGACTCGCGGGGGCGCTCGAAGTCTTCCAGTTGTCTGCCTTCCAGTTGTGATTTTCGAGGAAGAGCTGAAAACCATGTTTGATGCTATGGACGACAATCGAGATGGGTTCCTGGGATCGACATGTTGCATGGCGGGTCCATGGCCAAACTGCTTGGTGGTTTCAAACATGGCTGGA